AAGAGGGGACAGTGTGCCCTAGAGGACAAAATCTCTCAGTAACGTGGCGGAATGATATTGACAGTCGCCGAGGGCAGTGTATTTATGGACACAGAGTCCTTGCACCATGGAAGCAACTGTCCACTCACCTGATTCCCACATCACCCTTGTTAGTGACTGACAGAGAAGGTTTTTGTTTTGTTGTACAAGAGACAGAGTCATGACAGGTGGCGCAACAGACTCGGATGTAATCAGGAGTGAGCCTACAAAATAATTCATGAAAAAATGGGATTGTTTTGATCTTTTTTATAGGAAAAGGGAGAGCAATGATCTCGTGACACAAGACCTAGTAGAATCCGAGGAATGCTCGGAGGGGTGTCGCAACCACCTCGTCAGTAAGACGTCGGTGTAGAAGATGCAGGATGGGAGGCTCCATACCCTGGTGCCCTCTACTGCATTGTGCCTTGCGACGCCATTCCAATCTCCTCACCACTTCAGTCAGGCACCAGCTGGCAGGCTGATCCTTTTATTTATTTATTTTTTTCAGACAGTGATGTTTAGACTCCAAAACAATAAGTACGGAATGAAGACAAGCGTAGGAAACCTCAGACCACCCTGTGCAACACAAAACCTCCCTACCCAGAGCCAAGGCACAAAGATTTATGTGCTTTTGAGAGCTGGTATTTATTTTTGGAAGTTATTGTCACCAAACACCGACTGTCAAGAACAGGATCAAAGTGTTTTCTGACAAAGACAGCAGACTGTGGCTTCTGAAGGCCTTGAAGAGTATGTTCTCTTTGCGCTGCTCAGGCCCCGTTACCAGCTGTGTGAGTTTAAATGATTAAGGCTCAACTTCCACTTCTCTGCGATGATCCATACTGGCTTACAACATATTTTATGTGTATTGATGTTTGCCCACATGTATGACACCCATCTGTGTGAGGGTGTCGGACTCCCTGGAACTAGAGTTAGAGACAGTTGTGAGCTGCCCATGTGAGTGCTGGGAATTGAACACTGGTCTTCTGGAAATGTAGCCAGTGCTCTTAACCACAAGGCCCATACTCGGTTCTTGAGACAAAGCCAGACCCCAGTGGCTTATGGCCTACGGTACTCTCACCACCCCTATCCTTTCCAAACATATGCTACAATTCTCACAGTCGCCAAACTTTCCTTTCTTTTCCTCCACATCCCAGCGGGATTTAATGCAGTGCATCTGTAAAACAAATGAAGAACCACTTAAATCTTGACTAAACATCTGGGACTCATCACTTAGAACCCTGGAATTTAGCTGTTTGTTTTTTTTTAACTATCTAAAACATAAAAGAGCTTCAGAGTGTTTGTGGGTTAACCTCTTCAAAGTTGGTATGTCCCTTCAGAGAGAGAATCCGTAATTAGCTTCTAAATGCATTTCTACCCTTAGTAAAGTTAACCAGTGCTGTAAATGAAATCAATTGACACAAAATTTCCTTAATATTGGGGCTGGGAAATTGATTAGTAGGCTAAGTGCCTGCTGAGCAAATGTAAGCTACAATTCACAATCCCAGAGAACCTAAACAACAAAGAGGACCCTAAGAGAGACATACATGGATCTAATCTACATGTGAAGTAGAAAAAGACAAGATCTCCTGAGTAAATTGGGAGCATGGGAGAGGGTAGAAGGGTGTGGGGAGGAAGGGAGGAGAAGAGAGAAAAATATATAGCTCAAGAAAAACAATTTTAAAAAAAGAAAACAGAAAATGTGAGCTCCAGGTTCAGTGAGAGGATCTCTCACAAAAATAATGTGAGAGCCATAGAGGAGGATACAAAACTTTGATTGCTAGTCTACACACACACACACACACACACACACACTCATACACACTCACATACATACACTTACACACACACCACACATACACACTCACACACATACATACATACACACACACACACACACCACACATTCACGCACCACATACACAAACACACATCCACACAAGAGGGAGGATTCCTTCCATCATTTTCTAAGCCAGTTACTAGTGAAAAGCAGATGTTCTCACTACTGGTTCATCCAGTTCTGAAGAGAGGACCAAGTAGTTTCTCTGCAACGGAGAAGTGAGAGGCTTGATGACAAAATGCTGTCTGTCCGGCCTTTCTTCAAATGCTCGAGCAGCACTTTCTTTAGTAATTTCCAATTGATCTGCCATCCTCGTCATTTTAAATTTTCAATACAGTTCAATCACTCTCGACCTGATTTTCTCACTGTGTCTTAATACCTCCAGGCTATCCCAATAACACCCTTTATGGCCATTCTGACACCTGACTGCACCTATACAGAACTAACCCTCATCTAAACTGCCGGTTCTGTGGGAGACAGCCTGTAGGTTGGAGCTGTTCTATTGTGGTTTCTTTGTAATTTTACCAGGTTTCTACAATAGCTATAAAAGAGCTAAAAGCACTGATAACATTCCCCACCAGCCTTTTTGTTTGTTTGTTTTGTTTTGTTTTTTCAAGATAAGGTTTCTCTGTGTAGCCCTGGCTAGCCTAAAACTGACTCTGAAGACCAGGCTGGCTTCCAAATCACAGAGATCCTCCTGCCTCTGCCTCCAGAGTTCTGGGCCTGGCTGATAACATTCTTCATGATGATAGAGTTAAAAAGACGACTGGAAAATGTTGGGAAGCCATCTCAAAGATTTAACTTCAGCCTCTAAGGAGCATGCAGTGTTTCATGTACTGGTTTTCCACATTTCCAGCAGGGGTTAGCCTGAAACGGGGTATGTGAAGAGGTGAGAGGCTCTCCATCCCGTCTTACTCCCGTAACCGTGCAAGCCCCATCTCTGAGCAGTTACATCAGCAAGAAAGGCAGCAGTGCTGAAGGCTTAACTGCATCATCTACTTGTCTTATCTGAAGAACTCAGCGCATACTCGATGGAAATGAGTCAGGAACCTTCCCTGTCCCCTCTGAGAAGTCATTTGCCGCTTAGGAGAGCAGATAAATTAGGGGTGGGAAAATCCGAAGAACACTCTATAAAAGAGAGAGCATGGCCCAAGGGTGTAGCTCAGTGCTGGGACCACCCTGGGTCCCCAGCACCGCAAGAAAGAAATGACTTTGTCCCCTCTCCCCAGAAAGCAATAGTCCGGTGAGAACAAAAACACAGATATGTGAAGAATTTGCAGAGCAGAAATGGAAGGCATGCAAATCCAAATGGCAGGGAAACGTTACGTAAGAAGACGCATTCACAGAAAGAGGGCGAGGGGAAGTAGAGAATCCCAGCAAGGGCTGCTGGAGGAGGAAACCTCCTGTGCCAGGCTGGAGGCAGTGGGGACCAGGACGAACAGCAGCTGGGACAGCGTTGGGAAGAAAGAAACAGATGGAGACACACAAACTAGAGGGAAGTGAAGCCAGCTACGGAGTCAGCAGTCAGTCTGTTCAGCTGGAAGGAAAACTGCATTCCTGAGAGAAACGGTCCGTTGTCAGAACACGAAAGAACTTGGTGACTCGGCGTTCATGTAATGCGCTCCGTCATTTAGTCCTTCAAGGCACGTGTCAAGACCCCGGACCATGCAGAGGTGCTCTCTAGACGCTGAGGTTGCACCCTAGTTCTCTGATCTCATGTAGTTACAGTCTGCGGAAAAGAGACAATGGACCAATTTATAATAAATAAATAAATAAATAAATAAATAAATAAATAAATAAATAAATAAATACCTTCTGAATCTCTCTGGCCAGAAGATCTCAGATAGGCACATTGACGGAAGAAGAGACAGTGACGGCCGAGTTAGGGAGCATGCTCAGTGGAAACACATTCAGTCTCACGCAATCACTGTTTACCTCTCTGTTGTAAAACAGCTGCAAGGCTACCTGCTACTTACACAGAACAATGTGTTGTTGTTGTTGTTTTATTTGACCTTTTGAGACAAGATCTCATTAGTGCAGCTTAGAATGGACAGAAACTTGTGATTCTTCTGTCTCTGCCTCCTGAGTGCTAAGACTGCAGAGGATGAACCACCAGACCAGGCTCTGTCCAGAAAAATGAAGCACGAAATCCTCACGAAGTTAGAGTTTCTGTGCAGCCTGTCCAGAGGCTGGGGACCTTGATTATCAGCACAGCTAAAGCTGTCTTTCAAGATTATCTGACCTTGAAAACGGAGAAGACACACGGCGGCGTCTGTCAACTGCGTCTGGAAATTGCTGGCAGACTTTGTTTCTGTTTCTCCCCTTCAAAAGGCACAGTACCGTGTCAACAGTCAGAAGGAATGCATTGGGCTTGGGAATTCTGCTAATGAGTGATAATTTCATATTGCTTACTCACACCACTCGGGGGCTATTTTCGGCTTCTATATTTACTAAACTTTCTGCCTATAACCAAAAAAGCTGACTTAACATTAAAAATAGATATTTACTCTTCTAATGTAAGAATAAACCAGTGAGCCTTCTCAGTTTTTTTTTCTTCATTTTTACCTGTTATCCTCAGGAGAGACAGACTGGTCAAAAGCTCTGGCTTGTGATAAATGAACAGAAATGATCAGAGGACTAAATGGGGCGTCTTCAGAAGCACTAGGCCCTGGGTCAATAGCTGATGTTAAGATGATCCTCAGCTCAAATGTGCAAATGATCCGAGAGCAGCAGACCCGATATCTGAGGGCTCTAGAGAATATGAAAGGACCACTGTGGACTGACCGCTTCTCTTCCAGTTCAGTTCTGAGTTTCTAATGTGCTGTATAAAATGATGGGCCCGAGTTAGTATCCATTAGAAGTTTGATTAAAGACAACAAGCCTGTCTGTAGACGGCGCTGGAAAGTCAAAGTTCAAAGCCACAGATATTCAAAGGGCAGGTGATTAAAAGTTTCAGCAGAACATCTGAAGTTAATAAAACGAAGTTTACATGTACGTGGATTAAGTTCTTAGCTATGTGTATATATTTACCAAGGAGAGGCAAATGTATCCTGTTTTTCATTTTGCATTTGTTATGTTAATTACACCAATTGTTCTGAATCCCTTGTTGAGTATAAGAAATTACCTCTTTCAAAATTATTTGCAGATATGGATATTAATGATGATCCTAATGAAGACCATCTTGCAAGTTATGATGTTCAACTCTGCATTCAGGAGTCCATTGAAGCAAGCCAGGCTGTATTCCATCCTGAAAGGTAGCATTCCAACCAACTGCCCTCAACAGATTTCTTCATGGCAGTCATTTTGCTGTGAGACACACTCCTCCTCTATAAAAAGCTTGCTTCCCCCCCATGGCACACATACTTTTTTTCTGGTATGAAGTATAACATCTTTAAAATATCAACTTTGCACATGTTTTAATAATCTGATCTACAAATATGCATCTCATGTAGAAAGTGGAAATTTTTTTCAAGTGGGAAATTCCTAGCTGGATTTATTTAGAGATTGCCTATATTCTAAATTATTGTGACGCTAAAAAGGATAATGCATAGAGTCTGAACAAATTTATATGTAAACAGGTTTGTACACAACACATTCTGCCATCTTGCCAGCCAACCTTTGTGAGTAAGCACATTAAAATAGACATGGAATTGATGTTACAAACATAGTAACACCAGAATCTTAAGCCGCTAAAATGAATTCCTGTCATACATGATACATAATGAAAAAAGTAGACCTTAGTTACCTTTATGTTCTGTTTTCTTTTTTTTTTTTTAAGGTAAACAGACCTTTTTTTAATATTTATTTATTTATTATGTATACAATATTCTATTTGTGTGTATGACTACAGGCCAGAGGAGGGCACCAGATCCCATTTCAGATGGTTGCGAGCCACCATGTGGTTGCTGGGAATTGAACTCAGGACCTTTGGAAGAGCAGGCAATGCTCTTAACCTCTGAGCCATCTCTCCAGCCCTAAACTTCTTTATTTATTATGTATACAATATTCTGTCTGTGTATATGTCTGCAAGCCAGAAGAGGGCACCAGACCTCATTTACAGATGGTTGTGAGCCACCATGTGGTTGCTGGGAATTGAACTCAGGACCTTTGGAAGAGCAGGCAATGCTCTTAACCACTGAGCCATCTCTCCAGCCCCCTTATGTTCTGTTTTCATACTTAGGATGTTATAGTCTGGAACTTAGCAGTGTTTGTGGGTGTGTTCATTGCTATGAAATTACTGCCTTTGAGCTGTGTGTGCAGTATACCCATGTGTGTGCATGCATACGTGTACACGTGTGTTCATTCATGGTCTCACATGAGCACAGTGCACACCCCTCTGGGGAGGCCAGAGGTCGATATTGAGTGGCTTCTTGCCTTTCTGTTTAAAAGAGGATCTCTCACTGAACATGAGTTCAGCTAGATTGCCTAGCTGGACAAGCCCCAGGCATCCTCCTGTCTCCGTCCCCAGTGCTGGGATTACAGACATTTGCTGGTGATCTGAACTCAGGTCCTTATGCCTATATAGGAAGCACTTGGCCAGCTAACACTCATCCTGCAATCTTCTGATCTTGAACTTTTGAAAGTGAACATGTAATAACACTCTGGTTTCTCTTCAGATTGTATAAATCTTTTAACTTTGAAAAGTGTGCATGTTACAGAACATTTCCAGTCTTTGACTTTTTCATAGTCCTGAAACCTCCAACAGAATTTAAAACCCCAGAGCTCACCACAAGGCATTCAGAACCCTACAATGTTAGCAGATGCTTCTGTTTAATAAAGCTAACACCTTTGTTACGAGGCTCCTGTTTCCATTTAAAAAGTACATGTGTCAGCTAATTGCCTTGTGGGCCTAACTCATGACTCGCTGGGCCACTGACTGGACGTACATTCAGTAAATGTTCTACCTACTAATCAGTTGATTAAATAACATGTGTGTGTATCATTAACTCCCAAGTGTCTCTCAGCAATTACTAAGAGCCAAGTAACTTTTATCGAGCACATAGTGTTGGAAGTTTGAGAAGTCTTAGCGATCTTCCTATTTAACCCAGTCCAGATGAAGAAACCAACACCCAGAAGGGCTGATGGACTTGCCCAGAGCCACAAAATCGGGCCCGCACCAGAGCCCTTGCCTCTGGCTCCAGCCACTCCTTCCATTTCTATTATCTAGGGAGACCTCCCAACCCCTCTTATTCTGGTGTTTTGCTCTCTTCACTATTACCCTCTCTGCCTGACTCCTGGGAAATTTAAAGTGGAATAAATCAGCTATACAATTTTCTTGCAAATTTTGATGATCGCAGATATTTACAAAACTGCATTTTTATTGTTAAGATCCTTAAAATACATCACTAGTACGAATATGGCTTGTTTTTTTTTTCTTTTTTCTCTGCTAGATTTGTACCACTCAGTGACCAAAACAGAAAGCTTGTAGAGGCCATAAGGCGAGGTGAGTGGGCATGCGGTCTACAGTGAGGCCGAACCGGAAGTTCACCTTGTCAGGGCCAGTGTGTAACGGGTCCACACGTTTCCTGTAGGTCACATTTTTGAGCTCCAGGAGTATGTGCAATGTAAATACGCCCTGGATGAAGCTGACGAAAAAGGATGGTTCCCATTGCATGAAGCCGTAGTTCAACCCATTCAGCAGATACTTGAGACTGTTCTGGATGGTAAGAATACAGGACAACTTTTGTTCAAAGCTAGAGAAGAAATGTGTACATCGTGGGAGTTCCAAAGGAACCTAACAAGCAAAGATAAAATAGCAGAACAAAAGACTAGTACAATTTGTGGCATCCGCAACTCAGTCTTTGTATCCATTCACCTAAGAATGTGGTATAGGACGGTGGAAAGGTAGCGCTGCCACTCGTGATTGATCAAAGTGTTTCACAGGTTACAAATTAGTTGATTAACATAGGAAGTTACTTTTCTTTTAAAGTACATTTGAGGGACTAAAGAGATGGTTCAGCACTTAAGAGCACCTGCTACTCTTTCAGATGACCTGAGTTTGTTTCCCAGTGTTCCCATCCGGCAGCTCACAACCACCTGGAACTCCAGCTCTAGGGGATCTGCCGCCCCCTTCTGGCCTGAGCAGGCACATGCACACATAGACACACACACACATACACCTGAATAGAGAAATAAAAAAATAAACCATTTCTAAGAGTTAATTTAAAAATTTTCATCTTCAACTATTCTTGATCTAGTTTCCACAAAAGGATATGTTTACATATTATAACAAATAATACAATTGTCCTTGCATTTCATTAATCTTTTTGTAATGTAAACATTACTGTGATACGAGGCAACAGGAATCTTTTAGATGTCATTTTTCACACTTTGAACAGAGTCTCACTGTAGACTAGTCTGACTTTGATTCTGCAGTGAAACTCCTGCTCGCCTCTCACGACTGTTATCAGGATTGCAGGCATGAGCCACCACATCTGACTTCTATGGTAATCTTACGGGACTATCATTAAATACGCAGTCTGTCGTCACCCAAAACATCACAATGTGATCAAGACTATATTTAACAAAACAGTTGAAGATTCTAAATCACTTTCTCTCATTCGAAACTTGGTTGATACCTTTGGGGCTATGGAAGAATATTTTCGTCTACACACAGCTCAGACGCAATAAATGTTCACTGGAAATGGGCTAAGGTTAAAAAAAATCACTGTGATAAATTAACACATTGTAGTTTAAGTGTTTTTACACACATCAGCATTTTATAGAACATATAAAATGTCTCATTATTTAATCTTCAGTGTTGCTTCAGAGTTGCTTTTAGGAATGAGAAGTATTTGATAATTAGTTAGCCAATTAGAGAATTAGATGACCAAACTGATAAATATAGATGGTATTTATGATATTTCTTCTGTAACACAGTGAGACGTTCATTCAAATATATTTCCCATTTACATTCTCCATTTGAAAAACCAATTTCATTTCCATTTACATATTTAACAGGATTGGAGAACTGATTTACAGTGTATTCAGAAATGAGAATTAGTAATCTATTTTAAGGAAAAACTTGTTGAAGCATAGGTATTAGTTTCCTAGTTGTCAACTGGATTAGCAAATCTATGTGTGTTTGCTAATCCTCTCTGGCCTTTGATAATCTTTTTATTGTGTACTCTCTTATCCTTCAATTTTCCAATTACTTTGCTCAATATTAAGTGTATAATATTAGGTGATTCTGATTTACATAAAATCACATAGGCAGATATGTTTCTTAACTTCTCAACAAAATGCTTTTACAACTCAGCATCCTATAAGACAGTTTGGGAATTCAAGACTTGCGATGGAGAAACACCCTTGACTCTGGCAGTCAAAGCTGGCCTGGTGGAAAATGTCAAGACATTGCTAGAAAAAGGGATCTGGCCCAACACCAAAAATGACAAAGGAGAGACTCCTCTTCTGATCGGTAAATTGTTTTTTTCTAGAATTTTTATAATTTGAAACAAACGTAAATACTTAACAAGTGTTCCTTAGAAGTCATGGTACACTGGCTATAATCTGTTGCCTGAATACCTTCCCTGGTGCAACGCCTCCATGCTCCCAGCCCTGTTTCGCCTGCCCATGAATGTCATTATCCTGTCCCACAAAGAGTATCATGAAAGATGGCACAGAGTTTAACTCTGAAATATAGAGCACAGATAGCCAGAAGAAGCTAAATTGGTTCAGTGGCAAGGTATCATCAAGTCTAAAGGAATACCTTCCAGGTCAGTCAGAATTGAAAGGGAGGGTTGTGTGTGCAATATGCTCTCAGAAGAAGGGTGTATGGCAAGCAGTGAACACCCATTCCACATCAGAACAGTCAAACTGGACTGAAGGAAAGAGGAGATTCTGAGCGAGGCACTGAGCCTGCCCCGAAGGATTTGCAGCGGTGACACTGGGCAGGAAGGATGGCAATCAAACCTTGCCATGCCTCAGCTTCTCTGGCTAATGTCCTCTGCTAATCGCTGAACGAGAATCCACTGACTGAAGAAGAAAGAGGTTAGACTGACTGTGTATATGTGACCCAGAATAACATTGCCGTTTCTTGGAGGCAGGAGAATGGAATAGGAATTTGGGCTTTGGCACTTGAGATCTGTGGATTTATATCTGCTGGGAGACTATAATAATGGGCATCACACATGCTCACATATGATGGTTGCACAGGGAAAGAGATGTCATGCTAAAGCCAGATGCTCTGCTAGACATCCTGGATAGAAAGATATTGATTAAACTTTTGCTTAAAATGTAAGAGGAAAAGTTAATGTAAATACTACAATGAAGGTGCACACTTAGAGTAAATTAAGAGTAAAACATCATCGCATCTGCAGAAACTCTACAGGGACTTATTTCCCTGAACTGTCTTTAGTAATATGGAGATGTCATCAACAGGACTTTTAAAGTTTTACAAGAAACAGATCATCCACGTCAGTGTAGCGGTTTTGCTTTGGGGCTACTTTGAAATTTGTTTCTCATGGCTTATTAACTTGCAAAGGAGAGATAAGAGGGCCAGTGTTCCTTGTTCCATGTAATTCCATTTTTAAAATTCTTCTTGACTTAATTCTTCGCCTTTGTATCTATTCACCAAGTCTGCTCAGATGGCAAAAATAAAATAGCTTAGCTCTGCTGAGGGCTGCTCCTCACACCCAGCCCTCTGGCGCTGACCTGCAATTCTTTCTTTATACATCACCGTCGTGTTACTTGTTGAGTGGTAGGTATCAGATTTGTGGTGATCTTATTAGGGTTTTTCTGCTCTTGGATGGACTCTCTGCTCATCCGAGGGATATGGTATCACCTTTCTTCTGCTTAGTAGTCTTGCTTACCCAGACCTGGGAGGGGAAGAAGCTCTGGGAACTGTTTCCACGGGTTCTCGGATCTACTGACCTCCACCCTCCACGACTTTCCACATCCACACAGCACTTCATGTCACTTCTTTCTCAAGGTGTGAGTTCCTTTCTCTCAAATCGAAGCATACCCTCCTCGGCTGTTTCCTCTTTTACTTTCCCAGTCCGTACCCAGATGTCTCGGAACTCCTTTCTCTGTGCGCTTTATGAGTCAGAAAAACCACTCAGAGCTACTCTGAAAATCATTTATGTATGCAGAAAATGACAAATTAGAACTAAAAATGGAAAGCCAGAAAACCACATGTTTCCAAGAAAATCTTAAGTAATACTAAGCAATTCTAAATTGGTGGTTTTCAAATTCTATAGAACATATATGTAAAGTATACATAAAAGACTAAGCATGAAACTGTATATATAAGTTTGTCCTTTATTATCAACTCTATTAAACTAATAATGTGCCTTATGGATTTAAATACTTCAATTGGTTATTAGTTTAGACCAGTGGTTCTCAAACTTCCTGATGCTGTGACTCTTTAATATAACTCCTCATGTTGTGTTGACCCCCAAGTATAAAATTACTTCATTGATACTTCATAACTATAATTTTACTACTGTTATGAATTGTAATGTAAGTATCTGTCCTGCAGGATGTTTGATATGTGACCCCTAAAGGGGTCGTGACCCACAGGTTGAGAACCATGATTTAGATTATCTTTATGGATTGCCTGTGAAGGATGACTCTCCACCATTAGCATTATTGTTTCTGTGAAATAATACATTCTTCCAAAGTATTAAGAAGTGAAAATATGAATTTTTAAAAATTACTTTAAGTTGAAGGTTCCCTGCATATACTGTTGTTTTCATGAAGAAGTAAAAATTTCACTCCGTGTGTTTCACACATGAGGCAGAAAGAAGGGCAGCTTCCCAAAGGGAAGAGCCTCATTCTGTGAGGTTTTCTTCCTTCAGAAAAACCCTGAAACAGTGGCACTAAGATAGAATCGGGCTCAGTCCTCTCTGCGGTGATAGCAGCTAGGATGAGGTAACACACCACAATTAGAGCCACAGAGGCGAATGGACAGTTATCAACACACGGTGCAGTGGGAGGAGGAGATGAATGTCACCTCCCTCACAGGAGCACGGTCCAGTTCTTCACGTGCTGACTGAAGGACACTCTGTTGACAAATGCTATCTTTGGTGGGGAAGAGAATACGTGTTTCTATGGGGGGAAAACCTACTAAATATTGATATATGGAGCACCAGAGTCCAAAATGATACTGACACTAAGAATAATTTGTCATGTTCATATACTGGGTACTATACTAAATGGTTAATATGCATTATTTAACCTGTACAACCCTTTAGTTTGTTGTTCCCATTTTTTGGAGAAGAGGTTAAGATTTGGAATGAATTCACAAAACTTTCTATCTTGATGATGAACATTTTTCATGAAGATCTTACCCCACTCTGAGTCTTGAAGACTTAAACTTCACAAGGAGAAATTAGGGCCTGAGAAAGAGAAATCATATACCCTTTTACAGAAGAAATGGATTAACTTCTACCTATTTTGATATTAGTTTAATTCCACATTAAGTGCTCATGTTGATACAGCAACTTCATGGTAATATTCCTGTTCTTTTGTGAAATTATTTCAAGCTATAAAAAAGGGCTCCTATGACATGGTATCGGTGCTGATTAAATCCAACACCAGCCTTGACCAACCCTGTGTCAAGCGATGGTCAGCAATGCATGAAGCAGCTAAGCAAGGCCGGAAAGACATCATAGCCCTACTGCTGAGCCACGGAGGCAATGTGCACCTGAGAGATGGGTTTGGAGTCACGCCTTTAGGGGTTGCTGCTGAGTATGGTCACTATGATGTGTTAGAGCATCTGATCCACAAAGGTATGTGGAATGAGTTATCCTGTCCTGATCTCAGACTCTCCTTTTCGCTCCCCATGCGCTCTTTCTCTCCTGAGTTTAAATGGGTGAGGCTTTAAGTCCTAGCCCCTCATCAACCCCCAAGCCCTGTTGAAGCCCTTTTGATTATGACCTGCAGAGATCTGCGTGACCAGCCCTAATTGCTTTTTCCAGACAGTCTAGTTTCCATATAGATTTGGTGGGAAGGGCTTTTCTATTGTCTTTGCTGAATTCTCCTTCATTTTCTGCTTGTTGATGTCATGGTGTCATAATCTCTTTTAACTGGGACTGAGAGGTTGGCTCTACCTCTAAATCTATTACCTTCTTTCCCAAACCCGATTGGTTGCAAAGTACCAAGGTCTATCTTGTTTTCGTGTTGCTATCTGTCATCTTGGTCAGGTCCTTCCCATCTTCCCCAGACCATGTGCATTTTTGCTATTCTCCAGGTTTCCATTCTGCCTGCCAGAGAATCCATACTATGCACTACAACTTCGTCCCCCTCCCTCAGCTACAGCCTCAGTGATGTATTCTACCCAAACACCACTTCCATTGCATTATTTAGAATTGCTTTTCAGGCTTACACTTCACTATTCCAATCCTGTGTGCCCCGCTTTAGGAAACTAGAATATGAGTGTTCTCTCTGCCTCAATTTAGGTGAGATCCTTGCTCTCATTTGGAATAATATTGAGCAAAATTCAGCCAATCTCTTGAGACATTCTCATAAATCCTTTCCTAAGTCTCTTCAACAGATGGTGTTATTCCCCACCCCCAAGACTTAATGATGCTTCAACTGTACAACCAGGAACGAAGAAGCTCAATGCCTAGCTCCTAGCTCTGCCTACGCTTTATGAGACCCTTGTCTACTTAAGTGCCCAGACCCCAGATTCCTCATCTATAAGTGTACTGCACGATCCCCAAAGGATCTTGCATGGGTGAAAACTGGCATTTTTGTGCTTCCCAAAATCACCTAATTATGACATAACTTCTAGAAATATGCTCCACTAGTTTACAGACAATGAAACAGAGACACATTAAAAACCCATCCCAATTCGTGACGATAATAAGGATTATCAGATCCATAATCAAAGATGACTCTCTCCCTTATTAAGCTGATCCTACTAAAGCTGTCACCCCAATGTCATATACTGTATGTCCTCTAGTTACATATTCATTTTCTCTTTCAGCTCCTTTAGTCAGCTCAGTTCAGCATAGGGCCACATGCAGTGGTCACACTTCATGGGTAGCCATAAATATTTGTTGGATTGAAAGAGTGTTGTCATCAAACTAAAGTCTCATGATCCTATTTCTGGAAACATGCTCCCATCGTGGCAGCTGACTCGCGTTCACTCGTGTTTTTGTTTTTACTCATACGGAGTTTGTGATTCCCTATCCCTGAAAGTTTAATAAAAGGAAACATGTGACCTAACTGTTATTGAAACTTTTTTTTTTAAAAAAAAAACCAACAAACAAAAAACAAACATAGATAGTCAAAATTCTATATTGCGAAGCTTTAACCGGGAAGGGCTAATGGATGACTTTAACAGACTAACTTAACACCACTCAGCCGGCTAAGCCACGTGCTTTACACCACCAGGTGGGGATGTGTTTGCTTTGGCGGACGATGGGGCATCTGTGTTATTCGAGGCAGCAGGAGGTGGAAACCCAGACTGCATTTCTCTCCTGCTGGACTATGGAGGAAACGGTAACGTGCCCAACAGAGCAGGGCATCTTCCAATACACCGAGCTGCCTATGAGGGACATTATCTGTGAGTAAGATATTGAGGTGACCCCTTTAGGTTCTGTATATAATACAATCTCACAGTATATGATATTCCCCAAATCGCAAAGGGAAATATTCACACATTTTATATTTCAATGCTTAGAATTGATTTGATAGCTTTTCCTCTTTCATTCTATAATCTTGATTTTTACAGAATGAATTTATTCTATTCTTTTAATAAAAATTATTCCTTATAGAGAAATAAAGTTGTACATGAGAAATCTTCACCAACTGGCAAGAATGTCTTTCTGTGTTAAAAAAAAATGATTCAACAAATGGCTGGAAAGTTTCTAGACATTTTACCATTGACTGAGGATTAGAATTTGTAGTAATACTGTGCTTTATTCCAGTTAATTCCTAGCATTGCCAGGCTATACATAATACTATAATGGTAAATGTATTATTGGATAGAAAAGATTCATTATAAATTTAAATTTCTTTTTCCCACACAAACAGTTGGGTGAACATTTCAATCATAAAGTATGTCATACCGACACAGTGACAGAAGTCTAGAATCACAATGTTAAACTATTCACCAAGAGACGATGGTTTTAAGAAATTAACAACATCTCATAAGTTCAAAAAGTTTGAAGTAGCTAGGCTTTCTTATATCTGGTGGCCACACTGGCAAAGTTAAGGGACCAAGGACGCATAATTGATGTGAAGTGACATGTTGTTAAAGTCTACCTGGATTTACTCCCAGCGTTCATAAATTCACACATGATAGCTCTGAATTAGGCACAGGAGATCAAGTTATCCTTGCTTGTGGCCCTCAGAAATGCCTAGATGGTTAGTGAAGTGTGAAATTCACAAGTATTCATCACATGTATTTAGAAACACGAGCCAGGGACAGTTATTTCATCTGGATGGATGGAAGTTTGACTGAATATTAAGATTCTTGGTTTCATAAAAATTCACTTGTGAACTGTATAGGAAGGAGTCAAGATGTACATGGGCAAAATTAATAGATGGCTTCGGAATCAATGAAAAAGAAAGAATTAAGAGAAATTATTAAAACTCTATCCCTTCCTTCTATATAGAGCTTCTGACCTCAGGTAAGTCATGTTCCCTCTTAAGTCTTTCTATTGTTCATCTTTAAATTAAAGGGTTATATTTATGGTGTTCAAGATCATTTGCCAACACTGCACGGTTTCTATTGGTCAGGTTTATGCAGTGTGTTTCTCTGATATCAGAGGAACCTACTCTCTTTGGCATTTTTGCAATCACACCTGTCAACTACATAAGTTTTATTGTTAAGAGACAAACTCTAAAGTAAGGAAAGTCCTGAAAACTCAAGCCTAGACCCAAACATGTAAGATCCTGATCTTCTTTGAGAATTTTTAGCATGGGAAACTAATCAAAACTCAGATAAATTACATTAAATTAAACAGGAGTCTCTTCACTTGCGAATGCTAAAAGGTCCATACAGAGTTATATAGAGGAAATATGGACAACTAAACAAACTGAACTCACTTCTCTAATGAGAAAATTTTGTTTAATTATTTTATTTTCTTTATGCAATGGGATGTTTACGGAGTGGTTTGTTTGTTCTAGGGCTCTGAAATATCTCATCCCAGTAACATCCAAACATGCAATCCGGAAAAGTGGCCTAAGTCCAATCCACTCAGCAGCGGATGGACAAAACGCCCAGTGCCTGGAACTGCTGATTGATAATGGTTTTGATGTCAACGCCCTGCTTGCTGACCACATTTCTCAGAGCTACGATGATGAGAGAAAGACCGCGCTTTATTTTGCTGTCTCTAACAATGACATTCACTGCACAGAAGTCCTTCTGGCTGCAGGTGCCGACCCCAACTTAGATCCCCTCAACTGTCTACTTGTGGCCGTGAGGGCCAACAGCCATGAGATTGTCCGGCTGCTTCTCTCCTACGGGGCTAATGTCAACTGCTATTTTATGCACGTGAATGACACTCGCTTCCCCAGCGCCATCCAGTACGCCCTAAATGACGAGGTTATGCTGAGACTCCTGCTGAATAACGGCTACCAAGTGGAGCTGTGCTTTGAGTGCATGCACGGAGACATCTTTGGAAATTCATTCGTGTGGTCAGAGATAGAGGAAGAGGGACTGCCAGGATGGACGTCATGTGTAATAAAAGATAACCCGGTGAGTTGCATTCTTTTCTTCATTTTGGGTTGGTATCCTAACTCATGATGATCTCAAGAATCTCCACGTTTTGGTTTTTTTTTTTTTTTGAAACCTCCCCCCAGTTGATCAAGAGTATGTTGCTTAACTTTTATTCATTTATAAAACTTCTGCATGTCTTCCTGTTACTGATTCCTAGATATATACCATTGTGGTATTAAATTCCAGCGAATGACTTTGGTATTAAAGGTATGAAGCTTGTTTTATAGCCCAATGTATATTCTGTTCTGGAGAGTGTTCCATGTTCTAAGTAAAATATATAATCTACAGTTTAATTCATAAAATTTCACTTATTTAAGGAGGCTACTGAAATCAGTTTTAATTTATATGCTTCTTAGTTTTGACTTATTACTGTAGACAGAGAAGCATAGAGTGGGTCAGGAAATAAGGCTGTTTTTTTTTTCTTGGATTGGAAAGAGAGTGCCAAACCACTTTAAAATGTATGCAATTATTCAGTCATGTCCAGTTGATGGGACATTGGGGCTAGAGGGAAAAAAGCTTGGGTCTTCCATGTCATGGTCACTCTGCTCCAAAGAGAGCCCTGAATATGCACTTAGTCTTATTAGTTCAATGAAATAATTGTGGCATCTCTTTTTCAGTTCTGTTCATCACAAAATAATATTTTCCTTCCTGTAAAAAGATGAAGAGAAAAAAAAAGATGAAGAGTAACTTTTCATAGCAATGCTGATTGTGTGTATGGGATATTTGACATATCACTAAATTAACCCTTATCAATTTTCTCAGTTCTGTGAGTTTATTACAGTTCCGTGGCTGAAGCACCTGGTGGGCAGCATTGTCCGTGTACTAATAGATTACATGGATTATGTCCCTCTGTGTACTAAACTGAAGTCTGCACTAGAAGTACAGAGAGAGTGGCCAGAAATCCGCCAAATAATAGGTAAAAATGAAAGTCTCCTTGACTTTAAATTTTCTTTGTTTACTGTGCGTATGTGTGGTTGTGAATATGACTGTGTGCTTCTATCCTTAGAAGAGCTTACAATTAGCAATGACCATAGTCGTCCTGAGCATCCTTCACACACCAAATTTGGTGTGGAAATACCAATTTCCTGCAAAAGGAAAGAAATAATAAATGATGATTTCCGATCTGAGGGAGGAAACGCATGAGAATGATCTGGAGCATCCATCTGCTCTTACCGGGCAGCTAAGAAACTCAGTGACTCCCAGAATTGGGTCAGCAGAGTCCAGGAGCCAATGTGATTCAGTGACCGAACCAGACCATTCAAAATTCAAAAACACAGTTGTTTCTATGAGTAACATAAGACATGTTCAAAATGTCTTAACACGTGAAAATGATCTTTTCAAAGGGATTATAGAAAACCAGTGATGTTGAAAATTGTTAAAAACACAACAATTTTTTCTGCCTTGTTTATATTACACATGTCACAAATAATCAGAATATATGAGCAAAAACTCTTTATGAAAATGTCTCAAATAATAAGTATAAATTAATATAGCTACCATTGTCTACCCTGAATAAATGAATGGATGTGTTTTTACACCTTGGTGACTGTCAGTATCATACTATGGAGGTCCCAAATGGGATAAATTAATTGCCGAAGAAATCAGACATAAGAATGATCAAACTGTGGATCAGCTACCACCATTCAAAAAACAGAGGATCCAATGGGACATGGAACTACACCATGGCAATACATTCCAGCCATGAGAAAACATAGGCATATGGGTTCTTCAGTGATTAAGTGACGTGATAGAAAATGGATAGAAAAAGAGCTTGAAGATCAAAAGATTTTTTTAAAGGATATTGATAACGTTTTAATCCTTCAGTTACAGGAATGCCCCAGAGGAATGGCATCTGATGCTGTCTTCTGGCCTACCTATGCATATACACATTCATTTGCACTGCCACACTCATGTGGGCGTGCGCACACACACACACACACAAACACACATACACACAACAGAAAGAAATGTTAGGAATGATTCACTTCAATGATGAAAGTGACCCCATTTTTCTTCTACTTGATTATAAAATTTTAAATTACAGGGGCTGGAGAGATGGCTCAGAGGTTATGAGCATTGCCTGCTCTTCCAAAGGTCCTGAGTTCAATTCCCAGCAACCAATTGGTGGCTGACAACCATCTGTAATGGGGTCTGGTGCCCTCTTCTGGCCTGCAGGCATACACACAGACAGAATATTGTATACATAACAAATAAATAAATAAATATTTTTTAAAAAAATATTAATTACATTCTTTGAATACTAAAACAAAGTTAGCCTTGGTGGCATGTGCCTGCAATCCCAGTATTTGGAGGCCAAAGCAGGAAGGTCACAGTTTTATCCATCATATAATTAGTGTGGGGACAGATTGCTTAGATGAGGAAACTTTCATAGGGGGTGACAACTGTATGTAAGAACCATGGTGGTTTACGAGAGAAGGAAGAATGAAGGCTGGCAAGGCTGTGCGAGCATCCTCTGTGGCTGACAAAGTTCTGTTTCATAACCTGAGAGGTTAGCAAAAGCTGCGCATCTGCCTGATACTTGTACCCTATGAAACTATGCATGTTTGTAGGTAGTCTCATGTTTAAAAATTTCAAACCCAAGAGGCCTAAATGGTTTGGCTATTTCAAAATGAAAACACCACTAAACCATAAATTGATTTCCAAAGTTTTGGGCCCGGGGAATAACAAAGCCAGGATCTGAGCCTTGTTTATATTGCTTGGCCACTCATCTTTTCCTGCCGTAATCACTGTTATTTCTGTCATAAGGAGCATGGACTTTGCCAGGAAATGAGAATTAATGGTCCATGTGTTTTTATTGCAATTGATTTCCTACGTGTGATGATTTTAGAAAGATACTCCAGGTAAGGATGAAGTCAGGGTGCTTTTCTGTTGTTTTGGTGGTTTATTTCTGCAGCTAGCTTGTCGGCTAGTTGCTGTGAGCCTGGTAAACCACTGGATGTCAGGGTTCCTTCAGTTACAGAAAGGTGGTTGGTTTGTTAAGGAACAAAATAAAACAGCTCTTTGATTAAATGGGGGGAGGGTACATATTTTGGTGATAGTATTTTCACCTCGAGTTTATAGAAAATGTCATAATTTATATATGTATCTCAGGTTGGTCTCAAACCTGTGACCTTCCTGCCTGCCTCCAAATGCTGACTCCATATGCCACCAAGGCTAACTTTGTTTTAATATTAGAAGAATGTGATTTGAAATTTTATAATCATATAGAACAAAAATGGAATGATTTTCATCATTGAAGTGGATTGCCCCTAATGTTTCTTTTGGTCTCTCTCTCTCTCTCTCTCTCTCTCTCTCTCTCTCTCTCTCTCTCTCTCTCTCTCTCTCTCTCTCTCTGTGTGTGTGTGAGTGTGCACCCACATGAGTGTGGCAGGGTGGCAACACAAGTGAATGTGTATGTGTGTGCATATGGAGGCCAGGAGTCAGCATCCGATGCCATCCTTCTGAGCCTTTCTGACTAGGTAGGCTGGCCAGTCAGGGTACTTCAAGGATCTTCTCCCTAGTATTGGGATTATAAGCAGGCACACCACGTCTGCATTTTCCCTTGGGTTCTGGGATACAACTCAAGTCTTTAAGCTCACACGGCAAACATACTACCTCCTGAGCTGTCTCCCCTCTCCCATAACGTTTATTGAATGTTATGATCCAGTGTATCAAGATTTATCTAGCTGTTTACATGAACTATTTAGCCTCAGACAATCCTATGCAGGAGATATTATTGCTGTCCATCTGACGTAAATGAGAACTCTAATTATATGGGTTAAGACACTTGTGCAAGGTCACACAAAATAGCACAGGCAGGATCTTAATCCCAGCTGACTGAGCCCAGAGCCAGCATTTGCTTGTGTACTTGGACTGTGCTGCCCCTTCACTGGTTCTTTTCGTCAGCATAAAACATCAGTGTTTAATTCTAACATAAAGTAAGAATTTGAAAAATTAGATTTACATATCATCAGATACATAAAGTTAGTATCTGGTGTGTAGCAGACACTGGAAACCAGCCTCAGAAGGAATTGTGGGTGACCTATAAAATCATGCAGTGATGTTTTACTGACAATTATTCATCAGAAAGACTAGTCGAAAAGACAGGAAGTAAAGAAATCTGTCTGCGTAATATGTAGTTATTTAACAAAGAGAAATGTGTGACCATTTGCTTTTGAAAATCAAAACTGTCTGTTAAAAAACTGTAGTCAGATGCCCATCGGGAGCCAGGCTTGGCTCCTGGCACAGCCGCAGATGGAACTCCCATCCTCTTGGAGCTGGAATCTGGAGGAAAGGGCTAGAGGACTTCACCGAAATGTAAATTGAGGTCAGAATCATCAGCTGCTAACAGTTTGCTCTTTCAGAAACCATTGCTCAGGCTGCTCTGAAACAACCTGTACCTCAAATGTAAAGCCAGTGGAACGTCTTAATTCCCTGCCTGTTTTCCATTTCTCCTAGAGAATCCTTGCTCCCTCAAGCACCTTTGCCGGTTGAAAATTCGCAGACTTATGGGACTGCAGCGACTCTGCCAGCCAGCCTCCATGGAGAAGCTTCCTCTGCCGGCAGCGATTCGAAGATACTTATTATTTAAAGAATATGATCTCTATGGACAATAGCTAAAGTTAATATCACTTTTCAATGATATTTTAAAATGTGATTCTTAAAGTGTTTTCAAATGTGGTTCCCCTAGAGAAGTCATTGGGATCGTTTTGTATTCTTAAGGGTATTTAAATCCATGGAAAATCTGGTAGTTGTGTCGTATCCCTATAGGAAGAACATGTACACTCCTAAAGACTTCCAGGTTCCTAAGACAAGCAATATCCTGTGTTTGAACTTCTACTGACTGTCTTCAGTTGTTACAAGTCTTCAAATCCTCCCTACCAGTTGAATGTCAATGACTGAGAGTCTAGGCTAAAAAGCAAATAACCCCTTTCTTAAAGCCCCACACACATCTGCCAGCTGCCGGCCTGTTCTATTGTTAGGACCACTGTTGTAGAAAAGCTGCTGGGTACTTGCCGGGTCACCCTGTAACCTGGCTCCCCCACCCTCACCCCCACCCCCAGCCTGCTACTCCTTGGCTCAGGTCCCCTAACAACTTCCTTGTTGTTCAATTTGAAAACCAACTTTCACCCCCTCTTCCTGTTGATTCTTGTAGCATCTAACTCCGTTTCCTGTTCCTTCCTTGGTTTTCGTCATACAGATATGTCACTCTTCCTCCTCTCAGCCCTTCTTCTGGCCCGTGTCTCTGCTGTGTGTCACTCTTCCTCCAGTCCTCTAGAGACATGCCCCCTGGGAAACTCCATTCATGGTTGCGATCCTATTGCTGGGGACTATAGCATTTACAGATGAAGTTCACCCTTCTGTCTCCTGTGCTTCAGGTCTGACAGTGGCAAACGCTGACGTAAAGGACATCTAAACACACAGGTAGCTTCCAGCTCAACATGTCCTCAAATCCTCCCTTCACTAAAGGCTTCCTCGGCACCTTCTGCAGTTCGACAGCAGCACAATCAATTCGCTTTGCAGGAGAAAAAGACCTGGTAGCAGTCTTGACGGGCCCTTCCCTTGCCGGGCATTTTCTCACCTGGCTCATTCAGCGTGCCAACTCACTACACACCATTGAGTTTCTCTCGTAATGCCACCATTTCCTGCCCAGTCCCACAAATTCCACTCTACATCTGACTGTAGTCTTCCTTTTCCTGAGACAAGACATTGCTGCTTCTCTGGCTTGCCTGCCTTTGTCTTCCAGAGTCTACACACAGCATTCCAGGATGGCCTTTCAGAGACTCAACCATAGTTCATTCCCTTGCAGAACATCACCCCCATTATCGTGGGATATAAATCTTGAATTCTCACATGGCCTCCCTGCTTACCTATCTCCTTTCTCTTTAGCCTCTCTGCATCTCCCCTCCCACTCAGCAGAGTCATTGTAGCCGTGTCTTCTAGAGCAGATCCCCCCAGACTTTATGGTTTTATATAATAAAATATGGTTTTAGTAATAAAAAACAAGGTCCATCTATAATCACCATTTCATTTTTAAGAGGGGTAATTCCTTAGAATGCTAGACAACAAGATGGTGGTCAACTCAGTTGTTAAAATGGATTGATATTAGCTTTGGAAGACTGGCCACACTGTTATCATCTCCGCAGTGACACGCTAAACTTCACTGTGGTCCCCAAGTCTTAGGATCCCTTTGATGGGAATCACTATAAACCTCAGGACCTTTATGCTTCCATCACCCTCTACCCGAAGATCTCTTTTTCCTTGCCCCTCTCCCATCAATTAACTGACCGCTACACTGCAGAGCTTGGCTCAGCTGTTGCTCCCTCTGGATGGAAGCCCCTGCCCAGAGCTGCTCATACGGTATTGTACTCAGCTACGTCACACTAGACTGGAAGCTCCATGAGGGCAGGACCATGTCCCCTTTGTTTCCCAGTGTGTGCTCAGAGCCAAACACATTCCCTAGAATGTGAATGTTACACAAGAGCTAGACAGAAATAATCAGTGACTTCATGGTGAAACGAGAGGTTTGAATCTCTGACTTGGATGTGTACACTTAGTAATGTAATTTTTTAAATGGATTATTCTTACATTATAATAGTGTATTTTTTACATTTATTTTGTTGTGAGAAGGAATATTCTCTTGGTAGTAATATTCCACTAGTTTGTAAATTTTCTGACATGCATTTGCTTTCAGTTATCTTTGAAAAATACGTAGTTCTGGAAAGAAATCTGTATCCTTAGGGTTATGGCTATACTGTATTATATTTCCTTGAGTATTTTTAATACAAATCATATCATAATATGTTTACTGTGAACTGTGATATTTCATGTATAAGAGTTCATAATTTTTGTACTGCTTTCTTCATTGTGCTTAAAATGTACTTTTATAGATACTGCTTTAAATAAATGAAAAATAAAACCAAAGCTGTAAGTCTGCTGTTTGACACTTCAGATATTATATGTATTTGGGGTAAATAAGCGCAAGAACTATTTGGATATAAAGATATAAACTGGGTGCACATGGTAAGGTTTTTAAGGTTATTGCCTTGACTTTTTGAAAGAACAGAATTTTTCGTAAGAATTAGAAATGGTGCCGTATCTGAAACTCGTTACAATTTGGACCTTTCCGACGACAGTGCTTCTGTTTTGGGGAGAGCCAGGTGGAAAGAAGAAAGAATTCCTGTCTAACAAGGACTGTGTAAACCCTCCCGTGTCATTTATCTGGAAGAGGGCAACAGCTGCTCCCCACGGCCAGGCTAAGCAGCCAAGCATGCTACAGCGGTGCCAATGTCCCCAGTGTGCACTGGCGGGGTGTGGAAGCCATCTCCCCATGCTGCCAAGCCGCTTGGGGCTGTTTTGGTCACTCTAGCTCTTGTTAGAGTCATTCAGAGAACCCGGGTGGGAAAGAGTGGAAATGATCTCCCCCTGAGTGGGTTTCGAGTTAATTTTTAGGCTGCAGTCAAGTCATACTTGAAAGCTTGTTCTTCTTGAAGAATTTGGTTTAATCATTTAACACTACATGACATATTTCCATGTGGAAAAGACAATGCAGAAGACGAGGAAAAAATTATTTAAACATGCAACTCGGCCTTCAATGCAGGATTTTTAAAAGATCAATATATGTATCACACAGCATAAAAAATAAAAGAGTCATGACAGAAAATAATTAATCTTTTTAATAATCCCATTTACTAGAAATTCTTATCGAAATTTGAGTTTTAAGTCCCATTACTCTTGTGTATGCATCTACCTCCCAAATCACAAATTGTTTAAGATATATAAAAAATTATATCTACTTCAATTTATTCATTAAAATATTAATATTACACATGCATATACACAAATACATTGTAGTACATGTGTCGGATATATGTGCACTTAATGTAACACTTCTGTACATATACACATTCTAATATATCATACTATTGCAATGCCATATTGTCTTAGTTAAGGTTTAATTGTTGTGATAAAACACCATGACCAAAAGCAGCTTCAGGAGAAAATGGTTTCTTACAGCTAGTAGCCAGGGAAGTCAGGCAGGAACCTGAGGCAGGAACCTATGAAGAAGCCATGAAGGGGTGCTTGTTACCATTTATACCACTGGTGAGCCAAGGCCTGTCCCAAAAGGGGCGGTCCCCAGAAGGGGCAGTGGCAGGTCCCCTTGGCTCGTGAGAGATAGATATGCCATACAGAGAGAGTTGAGGTATAGAGTTTATTTAGTGGGTTATATAGGAGAAAGGGAAGGGGAGGGAATAAAGGAAGAGGGGAAGAGATAAAGGAGAGAGACAGAAGCTACCTATCCAGAAGAAGGGCTGAGAGAGAGGCAGGGGAGAGCGAAAGAGTGTTGGCATGCAGGAACAGCACAGGCTGGAGACCAGCTTGGCTCAATGGAAATGGGTGGGGCTTGTCTCTTAAAGGGACAGAGTACCCAGGTGACAGACCAGACCAAACCAGCAGATTACAACAGTGCTGTTAACTGGCTTGTTCTCCATGGGTTGCTCAGCCTGCATGTATGTCACCCAGGAACACTTATCCAGGGGTGGCATCACCCAAATTGATCTATAATCTAGATCAATCTATAATCAAAAAATGGCTCACAAACTTGCCTAGAGGCTAATCTCATGAAGGCATCTTCTCAGTTGAGCGTTCATATTCGGAAATGACTCTAGTTTATGACAAGTTTACCAAAACTAACCAGTACATGTATATGATACTAGAACATGTACTTTGGATGAAGCATGCATTACCTTAAGTGCAATATTCCAGGCACAGAAAGGTAGAAATCACAAGATCTCACTTGATGTGGGACTTCCCTCTGTATGCTGTGATTACCATTAATGAATAAAGAACTGCTTTGGGCCTATAGCAGAGCAGAGCTAGGTGGGGAGGACTGGACTGAATGCTGGGAGAAAGAAGGGCTGAGTCGAGGGACACCATGGAGCTGCCACTGCCTGAGATAGATGTGCTGAAACTTTGCTGGTAGGCCACAACCTTGTGATGATGCACAGATTAATAGAGATGGGTTAAACTGAGATGTAAGAGTTAGCCAATATGAAGCTAGAATTAATGGGCCAGGCCGTGATTTAATTAATATAGTTTCTGTGTGATTATTTCAGTTCTGGGCGGCTGGGATGAACAAGTGGGCCTTCCTCCAACACTTATATGCAGAACCTCAAAAGACAAAACAGAAGCAGACTATAGGAGTTACCATAAATTGTTAGGTAAAAGAGGGTGTTGGGTATATTTCAATCAAATGATACCAATTATCAGACATGAATAATTTTTAAATGTTTATACAAACATGGTGACTGTCATTAATAACAAATGCAGTGTATATTTGCACGTGAATTACTTTTCTCCTTTTTCTAATGGAATATTTGGAAGCAGGCAACCTAAGGATTGAAGGGTTTATTTTGGCTCATGGTTTGAGAGGGTCCAATTCACTGTGATGGAAGAGGCATAGCCATAAAAAGAGCATGAGGCTGTTTTCTCACATTTGGCTGAATAAGGAAACGGAATATTGAAAGTTGGTTGGTACCCATCTGGCTTTCTTTTAGCTTGTTCACTGAGTTTAGATCCCTAGCCCATGGGGTAATACCATACACTTTAGGATGGGTCTTCCCTCCTACATTAATCCTCTCTAGAAATGCCCTCATAGGCATACCCAGAGGTATGTCTTCTAAGTGATTCTAAATCCAGACAAGTTGACAATGAGGATTAGCCATCACAATGTAAAAATCACCAGAAGA